AAAATCTAAAAACAGTCCTCTGGACATTGGTCTAAGCAAATAAAATATGACTTGACTTCAAAAGCAAATGCAATAAAAACAGAAGCAGAAAACAGGATTTAATTGCACTAAAGGTCTTCCGCACAGAAAACATGGTGACCAGACAACCCGCAAATGGTAAAAATTATTTGGAATCTATTCATCTTGCAAAAGGCTAATATATAAAATCCATAAGTAACTCCAATAAGTCAACTAAAAATTACAAATAACTTCATTAAAGAATAGACAAAAACAGACATTTATCAAAAGAAGACACAGAAGTGGCCGACACAAATAAGAAAACATACTCAGCATCAGCAATCATCTGATAAATGTAAATTAGAAACAACATCATACGGCATCTTCCACCAGTCAGAATTGCTGTTATTACAAATAAAAAACAGCAGGTGCTGGCAGAGACGCATACGAAAAGTAATGCTTTATACATGCTTGGTGAGAATGTAAATTAGTATAAACTCTATGAAAAACAATACAGAGATTTCTCAAAGAACTGAAGTTAGTATTACCATTTGTCCCAGTAATCCCTCCCAGTGGGCATATTCCTCCCAAAAGCAAACTTTTATATCAGAAAATGTTGCTTGCTCTCTGGTGTTTATTGCAACACCATTTTCAATAGAAAAATCAAGTAATCTATCTAAGTGTCAATCAATGGATGATTAGATAAAATATGATATATGTAAATCATGGAATAGTATGCAGCCACAAAAAGTGAAATTGTGCCTTTCATAGCAACATGAATAGAGTTGAAGGACATTATCCAAAATAAAATAACTCAGAAAAAATATAAAATACATTTTCTCTCTTGTAATGTAAACAATGCATACACATGTACATAGATAAAAGTAATAGACATTGGTGACTGCAAAAGAGGGCAAGGTGAGAGGAAAGTAAGGGTTAAAAAATTACCCAATGGCTTCAATGTTCACAAGGACTGCTGATGTTTATATAAATATCCCATTCAATTGTGAACATTTACCAAACTGGATGTTATAATGAGAACCACTTTTACAATGGTGATTTCAAACTCTGAAAGATATCTTAATGGTAAGCAGCTGAAGGTCAGGGAAGAGCTCCTTTCTTACAGATAAGTGCAATTATTGGACAAACACACTCATTCCCAGATAACGCATTCATATATTAAGGTCTACAAATGGTTTAAATTGCCCCTGATTATTTAATGTGGATTCAAAGTGAGGTGCGTGTCCTGGGGGAGCTTGTTCTCCAGTAGGGGAAGCTCTGTCAACACAGAGTTCAGGGATATGTAGGGAACGCATGGCCTCTAACAGGATTACGGCTTGAACCCTCAGCTTCTACAATTGTGTCGTCCATGTGTCATCTATTTACTCTTTCTAATACTGGGTCAGGAATTGGGCTATTCAATACCATCCTTCATGAATATGCAAATCACCGAGGGGAATATAGATATCTGTGCCCTGAGAGCATCACCCAGCAACCACACCCCTCCTTGGGAGAAGCCCCTACATCATAGCTCCTCCCCATGGACTGGACCTAGAGCATCCTCTTCTTGGTGGCAGCAGCAACAGGTCAGGGGCTCCCCAGTCCCCGGGCTGAGGAGGAAACCAGGCCAGTCATGTGAGACTTCACCCACTCCTGTCTCCTCTCCACAGGTGCCCACTCCTGGTGCAGCAGCTGGTGCAGTCTGGGCCTGAGGTGAAGAAGCCTGGGGCCTCGATGAAGGTCTTCTTTAAGGTTTCTGGTTACGGCTTCACCACCTATGGTATGTATTGGGTATGACAGGCCCCTGGACAGGGGCTTGAGTGAATGGGATGGATCATCACCTACACTGGGAACCCAACGTATGCCCAGGGCTTCACAGGACGGTTTGTCTTCTCCATGGACACCTCTGTCAGCACCACATATCTGCAGATCAGCAGCCTAAAGGCTGAGGACACAGCCGTGCATTACTATATGAGAGACACAATGTGGAAACCCACATCCTGAGAGTGTCAGAAGCCCTGAGGGAGGAGGCAGCTGTGCTGAACTGAGGCAGTGGTGCAGCAGTTTAATTTCCATCTTATCTCATTTTTCATCGACTTCCACTTTTATATTAGCTAAGAGCGTGGGGTAGACGGGTGCTCCTAAGAGATTCTTAACTTGCCATTTTGATGGGTTTTCCAGAAGATGTCAGAAGCCAGTTTGTTTGCAAAGCATCCCAAAGCCATGCCCTGTTCCAGACACGTATGTGCCCATTTGTGGGTCTTTGATTAATTGACAAGCTCTCATCAGAGCACCTGGGCTAATTCCACATCAGGTAGAGGAATGTGTTCTAAAGGAAAGCTAAACTTGTAATGCGATTCCTGCTCAATAACCTTCAGCTTCATTGTTTTTGTGTGATCCATCAACGAATTATGTTAGATCAAGGTTCTCAAAGGGAATTTCTAATAAATATAAGGCATGTACAGAAGTTCCCTAATTAAAATAATACAATTGTGAACACAACCTCAGTATTCAACCATGTCTCCACCCTTCACACCCTTCACACCCTTCACCACAAAGGAATTTTCATCTCTCCTGGAAGTTGGGTTCATTTTGAAATTAGTTATTTTTTTCATTTTAATATCTCAAGATTATCATATGTGACTATTTTAGCAGAAAGTGAGTTATGGGAACTTGAACTACACAACTGAAAACAAATTCACAACTAATTAAACAAGATGCCAGAATGTGATTGGCTCCAGGCTTTGTAATTCAACAGTTTATTACCCAGACTTGAAATTTACACGTCTTCTTGTTACCTTCATGGCACAGTTAACTCCCATTATGTAAGAAATGGTGACTGCATTTCCAAGGGTCATGCACAGTTATGAAAATAGACTGGGTAAGGTGAGGAGTTGATTGTTTAAATTCCCCTCTGAAAAAGTAGCATCAACTCAACAAATCACTGCTCTTCCCTCTGTGATTAGAGCTATGTCACAGGCCACATGGACCTAAATCCCTGATGGAGATAACATGACTACATAAATTGGGCTGATCATTTTTATGCTATAAAATTAATAGATGACACTGCAGTCCAGCCTGGGAAATCAAAGAACCCTTCATCTGTAAAATATAAAAAAGAAAAAATTGATAGGTTCTGACTTTGACATTTTGGATAATAATATTTTCACAATCCAAATTTAATTACACAAATATGTTACCTACATCTTCACTGAAAAGTTCCCAGTCATGACGAGTTCCATCAATACTCCACGTGTTCAAATCTGGACAGCAAGAGAGTCTGGAGAATAAAACACAATGAGGGCAGTGAAACGTGTGTATATTCAGCACCTCTTCACTCAGGAGGACTCCGCACACCCTGGAACAGGCTGCTTTTCTGAACGGCTCACAATGACTCCGGCTCACTCAGAGCTCAGACAGAAACCTCCCTTCACGGTGGGAGCTGGGCTGCAGGGGGCGCTCGGTACCCATAGAGGTGAAAATGAGCTTTCAGATGGAACTTCCCTGCCACCTCCACATGGAATTTACTGTTTCATTTCATTACCACTCTTTCCATAATGGTTCCTTTCTTTTCGCCTGTTCCTTACTGATATTTTTCAAAGGAATCTCACTTGAATCTTTACTCTTTTGCATTTTGTCTCCAGGACAAGGTTGGGAAATGTTACCTACAGCATCATAACATGATCTAGTGACCTGACACATTTGTGGCAAAGAATCCCTACCAATTCAGAAGCTCTTTGGTTTTCTTTCCATGAAATAGAATTATTTCTTCTGTTCTGTGTATGAGCATATCCTAGCAATCCTGTACACACTGACATAGATGTCTACAAGCCTATGAATTATTCTCTGTAAATAAAAATTTATCTCAATTTCCCTCAATGTTCATAATTCTCGTGATGGTGAGGAAGGTCTTTCTGGATCTGTTTAAACAAAATGTCCAGAGACCACCTGGTAGGTAAGGAGTTCACCTGGCTCTGGATGTTGGCTCTGTGTCTTTTCCTCTGTTGTCCCACAGGTCAGCTCACTTGTTCAGTCCTAACAAGACAGCCCAGGTTTGTCCTGATGTTAAAACACACCCAACTTCTGATGACTCTCCTGTTACCCACATCCATGGAGATAATTATTGATTATATAATTCACCAAACTAATGTCAAATGCCCAAGTTGCAATACCGCAAACTCTAAGGTATGTTCATGCAATTCAATGAAGGAGAAAGTCTTTCAGACACAGGTGTACCTGACATGATAAATATGTGGGTGAGGACTCTGGGCTTGAGTGTCATTGTCCAGCCATGTTTCAGAAGTGTGACCTGTCAGGGAAGAACCAGAGTTCCTTGTGCTCTCAGAGGGGAGGGCTCACAGATGTCCTCTCTTGTTCCCAGGAAAGGCGATTGCACTAATCTTGATGATGAGACTATGCTCCTGTGCGGACCTATTATAGATTTTGACTGAAATTGTCACTGTGATCCCCAATCTACATCTATTCACACAGAAGTGTGTAATGGTCAGGCCACATTCTCAGCATCACACATTGAGACGGTTGGAGATACGTCCCACTACCTTCTCCTGAGATTGCAGACAGAATCCCAGATTTCAAACGGTCACAAAAGGGAAGGTCTCAGATGTTTCTTTGTTTTGCTTTGTTTTTGTTTTTCTTTTAAATGACACACTCTCCGGGACAGATATATTCCCACTAACCACGCTGGATATTCTGAATTACAATAAACATTGCATGGATGTAGGTTTGTATAAATTCACTGTGATGAATATATTTAGCTGCTGCCCTAATGTTTTGAATGGAGATTTGACAATTTAGATAACCTGGATGTTTGGTTGGTTTCATATAAATCTTCAAGGGTACAACAGCATTGAACCTATTCCAAAATCTATCCCTGATCCATGATAATACTCATCTCCCAGACCAGCTCCTTCAGCACATCTCCCTACCTGGAAGAAGAGGACTCTGGGCTTGGCGAGGGGAGGCCCCAGGAAGAGAACTGAGTTCTTAGAGGACACAGCCAGCATCTTCCTCTCAGGGTGAGCCCCAAAGCCTGGGGCCTCCCTCATCCCTTTTCACCTCTCCATACAAAGGCACCACCCATATGCAAATCCTCACTTAGGCACCCACAGGAAACCACCACACATTTCCTTAAATTCAGGGTCCAGCTCACATGGGAAATGCTCTCTGAGAGTCACGGACATCCTGTGCAAGAACATGAAGCACCTGTGGTTCTTCCTCCTCCTGGTGGTAGCTCCCAGATGTGAGTGTCTCGGGGATGCAGATATGACGATATGGGAGGCTGTCTCTGATCCCAGGGCTCACTGTGGGTCTCTCTGTTCACAGGGGTCCTGTCCCAGGTGCAGCTGCAGGAGTCGGGCCCAGGACTGGTGAAGCCTTCGGAGACCCTGTCCCTCACCTGCGCTGTCTCTGGTGGCTCCATCAGCGGTTACTACTGGAGCTGGATCCGCCAACCCCCAGGGAAGGGGCTGGAGTGGATTGGGTATATCGGTGGTAGTAGTGGGAGCACCTACTACAACCCCTCCCTCAAGAGTCGAGTCACCATTTCAACAGACACGTCCAAGAACCAGTTCTCCCTGAAGCTGAGCTCTGTGACCGCCGCGGACACGGCCGTGTATTACTGTGCGAGAGACACAGTGAGGGGAGGTGAGTGTGAGCCCAGACACAAACCTCCCTGCAGGGAGGCGGAGGGGGCGGGCGCAGGTGCCGCTCAGGACCAGCAGGGGGCGCGCGGGGCCCACAGAGCAGGAGGCCGGGTCAGGAGCAGGTGCAGGGAGGGCGGGGCTTCCTCATCTGCTCAGTGCTCTCCCTCCTCACCAGCACCTCAGCTGTCCCCAGGGCTCCTCTTTCTTTGATATCTGTGGTTCTGCTTCCTCACATTCTTCTGCCAGAAAAGAAAGGAGGAAGGCACATTTTCCTCTTACAATTGAAGTTTCACCGATTACTAGGAACTTTCCTACAAGTTCCTGCATGGCCCATTAGTCCTTAGTGATTAAAAATATATATATTCTAATGCTTCTCACCATCTCTTGGTTTGTGTCATCAATTGAATTGTTCTTTCTTTGAAATTCATATGTTGAAGCCTTAAATTCAAAGGATCTCTATTTGAATTTTAATGAAATGATTAAGGTTAAATGTGGTCAGAAGTGTGAGAACCTAATGCAATAGACGTGCTGTCTTTATAAGAAGAGGAAGAGACACCAGAGACCTCTCACTTTTCACGTGCACGCAGAGAAGAGGCCATGGGGAGACGCAGTGTATTAGAAGGTGCCCCAGTGCATGCCAGGAAGAAGCCACACCAAGAACCAACCCTGCCAGCACCTTGATCTTCAACATTCAGACTTCAGAATTGTAAGAAAATCAATATTTATTGTTTAAGCCACCCACTCCGTGTTGTCTTCTTAGGAAGACCCAGACCTACTAATACTACATAACACTGTTAGCGCTGTCCCCTGGATGGAGAATCAGCCCCCTGAGGCTGGGCACATCTCTCATATTTCTACATAAAGTAGGCAAAAAATAGTAGCTGTGATATAAACACTTGTCATGTCCCTTTTGGCCAATTTCTGGGCAAAGTGTTTTAATGAAGCCCTTGGGGCTTTGTCACAAAAGTTGTCTTTTATCTTTTCTGAAGACCTAACTAATGGACAATGGATACCAGCTGGATGGAGACTGACCACTGACCATCTTCTGCTGACTCCTCAGTATGCCACAGAAAACCACACCAACATCACTCTATGTCTTCAACTTTCTAAATTTGCACTTAATCTATTGCTAAATGAGGAGCTACATGAGGTCTGAGTTTTGTTCCCTTCTTCCCAGTCTTCCTCAATTACCAAGGGCAGAAGAGACTTACAATGAAAATTGGATGTCAATGCCCCCAACACCACGTCACTTTTTAAGGTCCAGGAACTTTATTTGGGGGATAGTGAAATACACTTTTAAATGGAAAGCCCTAAAGCACATACAACAGCTGAAGGAATAGCCACTGTGCACCTGAAGGCTGATGAGGCAGATGGTAGCGTCCCTTCCTCCAAGATGTTCCTGGGTGTGTGATGGTTGGATGCCTCATGCGTATGGAAATAAGGACTGGACTGAAGTAGAAACAAGGGCCATATCCCACAGGAAAACAAAACAAGAAAAAACAGATGGGCATCCGTGAAGACCGTTAATTAAATTTGTTGGGTTAAGATGAAATTTTTTTCCAAAGTTTTAGTGTTCTTAACTAAATATGAATCTTTTCAATAAACTGAGAATTAAAAGGAGAACGGAGTTAGAAGTTGAGAGAGAAAGAAAGTCCTGAAAGAACAGAAAGAAAATTCACACAAAACTATCAAATGACAGAGGCCAGAATGGAGCTGATGCAACTATATCCTTATTTTGCAGACCTAGTTGAGAGTCTTTGTTATTTAAGGCAGGCCCAGTGTTGAAGAACTCCTTTAGCTTTTGCTTCTCTGGGAAAGGTCTTATCTATCCTTTATTTTACAAAAAGATTTACATGGTAAAGTTTCTTGGTTGGCAGAGTTTTGTTTGTTTTTCAGTTTTTTTCCCCCAGCAATTTGAATACATTTATGTGCTACTTAACAATGTTATAGTCAATAATAGACCTTATGTATGCTTGTGGCCACATAACATTGTAATACTGTATTTTCACTAAAGGTGTTCCATATTTATATGTGTTTAGATAGAGAGAGATACTTACCACGGCGTTTCAGTTTCCTAGTGTTCAGAGCAGTAACACGCTGTACAGGCTGGTTGTCTGGAAACTTTGTGCTGTTTCAAATGGCCTATGTGTAGTAGGGTATTCTTTACAGGTTTGTGTAAGTTCTCCCTATGATGCTTGCACAATGATGACATTGACTAGAAACACATTTTCCGAAATAATCTCTATCACTAAACCATACATTATCAAATATAATTCCTCTCCATTCTGAACTGAAAACCTACTGCTGAGAAATCTGCTAAATCTGCTCATTTTCTTTCTGTTTTCAAAAACCTTTCCTTTTAGCAACGTGGTTTCATACTATCTCTGATCTTTCTCATTTGGTTCACCTTATTTAAAATATATAGAGCTTCTTGGATGTGGATGAATATTTGCTTCTCCAGATTTAGAAAATTTCTATGCTATTCCTTCTTTGAAAACCTTTCTGCCTTTCTCTCTCTCCGTCTCTCTGTCTCGCCCTCTTCCTTCACTACCGCTTTTATCTAATCTTTGCATAACTTCTCAATGCATAATTTAGTTTTCAGTGTGTTAAAGACACATAAGTCTTTAACTCCTTTTATTTCTTTCATTTAAATTTTTCTTCTCTGTCTCTATTAGTTCAAACGATCTTTCTTTGAGTTTACTGTTTCTTCTATTACTTGATCTAGTCTTGTCTAAAATCCTCTGTTAAAATTTTTGGCTGACTTATTGTATTCTTCAGCATCAATATTTTTGTTTAGTCATCTTTTAAATGTTTTATCTCTATTAAAATTCTCACATTGTTCTTGCATGCTGCCACTAGCTCATTGAACTTGTTTCTGACATTTACTTTAAATTTTCTTCCAGGTAATCCATATGCTTCCTTTTCATTGATATCAGTTTCTGGATCTTTATGTTGTTCTTCTGTTTGGACCATGTTCCCCTCCTCCTTCATTTTCCTTGACTGTCTTTGTTGCTACCTGTTCATTATAACAAAAGCCACCATACACTCTTCAAAGACGAGGCTTGTAGAGATCACCCTCACCAATCAGTCCAGGCAGTAATTTGGGTCTCTCAAAACTTCGTAGTATTCAAGCTTCTGTCTCTGTTCTTAATGGTCCCTGGGTTTTAGAGGATGATAGATTCTGCCAGAAATCACAGGTAGGGGAGGTAGAAACGATTTACTCAAGCAGCCCCTTGAAAATGTGGACCACTGGACAAAGTTTTATTATTGATGTATGATTCATCAAAATAATGTTCGTTCAAACTTCTCTCAACCAGTCATTAAACATAGACATTTTATCATTTCTTATTTGAATCTGGAGTTTATTCTTTGAATATATGGGTAAATTTCCAAACTAGTTTAAATCTGCCTATTTGGCAAAATTATCTGTTGCTGAATTTCCATTTTCTGTGTTAATCTCTTTTTGCATTTAACTAACTCTGTATTAGACATGTATCTAGAATGTGGAAAAATGTCTTAAAATTCCTTAATTTATTTAATTTAATGGGGTTTAATTTAAAGATGTGAAAACCTCCTTTGTTTATAAAACACCTGACTATTGGTCAATAGTTTTCCCTTTAATTTTTCTCTCTCCTCTCACATTATCTATAATAAGCAGAGAGAAATGAAGACACACCATCGATAGTTTGCTTAGATATCCCATCAGCTAAACTTCTGTCACTAATTCTAACTTCATCCAGTGTAACATAACTAAGATAAATTCTATAACAAGGTACACATACTTTCCAGTTCTAATAACATGTCTGTGACAGAAACAAAGCAGGTGTGCTCTCTGCGAGGTGGTCATCTGAGGTCTGAGACGAGGGGTCACACAGGTATTTTCATGATATTTAAGGGTTTGGACAACAATAGTGATAACAATTCTGAATATCACTGGCTCTTACCAGAAAGGTTACAGGTAAAGTTAAGGCTGTTATTTCATTTTATCACCTAGTTGGAATGAAGCTCAGAGGAAGAGGTCACATCCCAGGCCACACAGTGAGGAGGAATGGAGCTGTGCTCTGCTCTCCACACTATACACAAGATCCCAGGCACGGGCCCAGGTTCCACTGACACGTGGCATCTGGAGGGCAGTTCTCAGGGAAGGATTCTAGGGCTCCTGCTTCCTTGGGCAGGGCGCTTCCTTCTGTCAATTGTGCACTTGCTCCTTCTGCAGGCTCTGGAGTGAGCACTTGTATTGCTATGAGTTATTCATATTCTCTCCCCTATTATGGCAAAAAACTATATTAAATTTTCAATTTATTTTCTCTGAAGCACACTGCCTTAGCAGAAAGGAATAAATTACATTCCTTCACCTCCCACACAGTTAAAGATTCCTGAAGACAGAGCTGATGTGATGCGCTTATAGTGGATTTCTGCTTGTCAGAGGTGGCCTTGGTCTTCAAGCTTCAGTAATTCTGAGAAGCCAAGGACACCTCCATCTCCTCCTCCCTGCTCTGAAGCTCAACTGAGAACAGCTTTCTCATTGAAATGTCTTGTGTTTAAGGAATAAGAGCCACTATTTCAGGTTTGGGTGCCCAGGTGCACCCACTAGATCCAGCCCAGGACTGGAGATACTTTCCAGAACAGAACATCACCTGAGACATGACCAGTCACACTGTTTTACTTTCACAGTTTCTGCTTCCTCAGAAGAAAATTAAAATTGCTGAGACTTTTCATAAACTTCCTGCCATGTCATTTCTCTGTTGCCTTGCCTGTTCATTTATGTCAGACCAGGTACCACATCTATGTAATCAGGTTAGAATCCTCGCTCCAGTAACATGAAGAGGACCTTTGGTTGCACTTTTGGTCTTTGCTCCAAAATGTAAAGATTACAAAAGTCATCACCCTCATTCTTAAGTCAAGAGGTATCTACACAATCTGATCTTCAGTACCTTTGGGAATTCATCAAAGGAATGAAATTCCAATAAAAAATTGCCCACTCCCAAAACTGGGGAGACAGGCATGTCCAGAATGGCAGTTCACACTAGCTTTACTGGAACAGAAGCTGCAGAAATATTTCTGCTGTTTCTGTTCCAGTAAAGGAAGTGTCATACACACACACACACACACACACACACACACACACACACACACACACACACACTTTATATATTTATATATATATAGCGCTGTTGAGGGCACTTACATGGTAAGCACTGCAAGACAGATGTGGACTAGGGTGAAGTGACAGTTCCAGAGGGCCATACACTCCTCAGTCTTCTGGACTTTCCCTCCAGAAACCTCCAGATTTGAAACAATACATCCAAATAGGTTTCCTTTGGGTCAGAAGTGGGGAAGTTTAATTACTGAAAAATATGCTGGGAGCCTTCTCCAAAAGTTCCTACAGGGAATAACTTTTCCAGAACCTTATCCTATGTGAAGGAAGACAAATCTTCCATTCCAGATCCCTCCCCCATTCTTCCATGAGTATATGAAGATGTAAGAAAATAGTCCATAGACAGGTAAGACGTAAGCAATAATCCAGGTAAGATAAGCAAATAATCCAGGTAAGATGTAAGCAAATCCAGGTAAATAGTCCAGGTAACATGTATCCAGGTAAGATGTAAGCAAATAGTCCAGGGACACTGAAACCACAAAAGGGAGTAAAGATGAAAGTAGAGCTTTTCCCCTGGAGACGCCTGGTCAAGGTCACAGCCACTGCAGAAACCTCACTGCAAGGCAAGGCTGGGCTGGAGGGGGCACTCAGGAGCCACCAAGCACAGGTTCCAACCCCAGAGCAGGTGTACAGAAGGATGGGGAGGAAGTTTCCTCTCAGGGCCTGTGTCTTCCTTTGTCAACAACAACAACAACAACAACAAAACTAAGTGTTCAACCAGCTGCTGATGTGCCTTTAAATATTCTGTTACATCGGAACCATTCATATAACTTAAGGCAACGAGAACTATTTTTAAAGTGTGTTTCTAGGACAATAAATATCTTAATAGTGATGATATAAATGATAGGAATGGTTTTACTAATTGAATGGATACAGAATTGTGGGAGTCACTATATTTCTATGAATAAAAAAATTCAGATTTCCATGTTAGGTAATGTTGCCCACATTGTGCATTTGACAGGGCAGTGATGGATCTGAGAGTGTGGCAGGTACACAGACCCAGTGAGTCAGAAACCAATACGTTAAGATGAGGATCTATGGACATGAACTGAAAGTACATAAACACTTCATGAAATTCTATTAAATGGAGTAGGAAATAAAACCCAGACTTATTCAAAACACAAATTCCTTGACAATTATTTTTGGAGTAGTGAGTTCATAAAGAACTCTAAAGTTCTTTTCCATCTTTTGATTCCTATTTTCTGTGAGATGAGAAAATCAACTCTAATTATGCATTACGGGGCAAATCTGTAAACCAAGGGTGGTTCTATTGAAGATCCTGGTGGATTACCATGCCAGGCAGGTGCTGGAGACACTGTCTCCGGAGCGCCCAGCAGATCTCAGAGGGACCTGCTGGACACTCACGTGGGACATCAGCTGTCACCTTCTCAGAGTCACCAATGAGCTGTGGCTGGTGCCTGATGGGACCAGGATGGGTCACAGCACCTGGTCAGTGTCATGAAGAGTGATGGTTCCAGAAATCCTCCGTGTGGTCTCCATGCTAATCAAATGTGGGTTCACAGTGAGGAGCATGTCCTCTGGGTGCTTGCTTTTCAGTGAAAGGGTGTCTGGCCACAAAAATTTGTTAATGGAGCAGGGCATCCGTTTCTTTAAGCAGGATTAGGGCTTGGACCATCAGAATCCCACTCGTGTAAGGCTGATGTGTCATTCATCTACTGTTTCTTATCCTGAATCAGAGTCTTGAGCAATGAAATGCTCTGACTCATGAATATATGAATAATCTGAGATCCACGGAGGTAAATATGGATATATCTCAGCCTTGAGAGCATCACCCAATAACCACATCCCTCCCCCAGAGAAGCCCCTGAGAGCACAGCTCCTCATTATGGACCGGACCTGGAGGATCCTCTTCTTGGTGGCAGTAGGTACAGGTAAGGGGTTCCCGAAGGGGATTGAGTTCAGTCAAGTGGGCTTTCATTCATTCCTGTGTCCTCCCCACAGGTGCCCACTCCCAGGTGAAGCTGGTGCAGTCTGGGGCAGAGGTGAAGAAGCCTGGGTCCTCAGTGAAGGTCTCCTGGAAGGCTTCCAGATACACCTTTACCAGCTATGTTATGCACTGGGTGCGACAGAATCTTGGACAAGGGCTTGAGTGGATGGGATTTTAGTTATTTGAGAGATTTTTCACATGACATTTATTCTGTGAGCAAATTTCAGGGATTGTAGAATGAATCAAATTAAGAAATCTGATACAGAACTTCCTCTGAATCAATCTTTGTAAACATCAATTTCTGAATCAATGTTGTAAATATTTTGGAACCCAAACACAAGTGCACATTTTAACTCTATTTTTATCTCTATTTAAAAAATGCCAAGAATCTCATTTTGTGCGTGTAACATTTTGAATTCCCACCATCAATGCATAATATTTCTTGTTTTTCCACATTCATATTTCCATTTATCATCATGAGAATAGTGAGTTTTAGCCACGCTAATAGGTGAGTAATGTTATCTAGTATTTATATAAATGCACACTTCCCTCATAAAAAATTCATATTTAACAATTTTTATATAATTTTTGGTGAGATGCCTCTCCTGATATTTGGTTCATTTTTAACTGCATTGTTTTGTTTTGATTAGTTGTAAGTTTACTTGCATATTGACTATAAAAGTCATTTAACAAATTAAAAGAATTGATTTAACAAACATGTGACTTGGAAGTATTTTCTCCAAGTGTGTGGTTGCCTTTTTCTCCCTTATCAGGGGGTATTGCAGAAAAATGTGTGTGTTTGTGTGTGTGTTTGCACAAATGTAGACAAAAACATAAAAGAAAACTAATTTGTACGTCATGTATTTGGCATTATATCTGAAGTCTCATTATAAAATACAGTATTAGTGATTTTTTTCCCATGTCTCTAATCTCAGGCCACAATCAACTCATGAGTGTTTAACCTTCACCTTTTGATTGGAGGACTATCCTCCTGAGGTGTTTGGAAGAATTCTGTAAGGAGATGTGTTCTTCTTCCCATTGTTTCTTTATTTAATCATCTAATAATATCTGTATTGGCTTATGGATAGCTATTTCATACTCTGAAACAGATCCATACTGCATTATTCATTTTATTGTTCAAATCGCCAAAGCTTTATTAGGTACCGGGAGCTGATTTAGTTTGGATCCTACATCCTTACAGCCCACTTCATCCTTCTGTTTTTGAACACTTTGTTACTTCCTGGTATTACAATAAATTCTAAGCTCGTTTTCTATATTACCTTTTTCATACATAGAATTAGCCATTTTAATAAAGATTCCTTGTTTCTGGCTTTAAAGAATAATATTAAAATAAAATATTGTGATACTGGGTATGTGTGTTGTTAACGTCGTATAAGTACTTCTGGGACCTCTCAACCAATTGGCCTAGTAAATGTGCATGTTTATATGAACCCATGTTTACAGACACTTCAAAACTGTTTATGTATCTAATCTTCTGTAACTTGATTACATTAAAAATGAGAAGACACTGGACTCTCCACCCAGCTATGCTACCATAAGGACCTTTCCAACCTTCCTTCCTCGAGTGTCCATAACCACCCACTGCAAAGTGAGGAATCCCCAATCCCATCATATGTCATTTTATTACTTATTTCAGGACACATGCAGAATGGCATCAGAAATGTAAAGTTATACCCTTGTAGGAAACATGTTTATCTACTAGAATAGAGTGCCGATGTGCGGTTTGTTTACAATTAAAACTTATAGAACCTCCTTATTTTCAAAGTTACTTAGATCAGCAACTTCATTTTCCACTTTCTTCTGTGAAGTCGTTTCAATTACACGGTATAGTTTCATCAGTCTGAAATTCTGTTACACCCAAAACTACAGTCAAATAAGTAGGATATTCCAGGAATTTAGAGGGTGGGTGTAAAATAAGTAAAACAGGCTCTGTTTAAGAAGAATAAGAATATTCTGGTGATATGCAATGGTTGAGACATGACACAATTAATTTGTCTAAGCTCATAATCTTGTGATGGAAAATATAAACCTAAATATATACAATTGAAATATATTTAGCAATTCATTAACCCCTGGATTAAATACAGACTTTATAAAATTATCTAATAATGTATTTGGGAGTGTGGGAATGTTATGAGATGCATGCAAGAAAGAATGAAGTAATTTTCCTGACTTGCATATACAATGTTTCCATTCAATGAAGACCTTTAATTTAAAAAATCAATTTTCTACGTGATTCAGGTTTTTTCTTCCTGACAAGCAAACAACCCAGAGCATTCTTCTCTTTCCTTGGTTCAGAAAAGTTTTCCCTGAGTTCAGGCATGCACTGTCCCTGAACTTTCATTTACCCTCAGATGGGTACAGACATCTGTCAACATGTGGGCTCTTCTGTCAGACAAACACACCTTTACTCATGTGGATTCTTCCCTCAGACAAACTCACATGTCCCCACGTGGACTCTTTCCTCAGACCACCACATATGTCCTTACATTTACTCTTTCCTCAGGAAACAGACATTTTCTCATGTGGACTCTTGTCTCAAACAAGCAGACATGTCTCCATGTGAACTCTTCACTCAGATAAGTGCACACATTTCCACATTGACTGCTTCCTGACACAAGCACATATATCCAATGTTGAATAATTTTGTGGCAAATTGATCTCACGAGAATGACAATTATAAAACTCCTTCCTGACAAGGTGTAGATATGTATTTTTTTTCATTTCAACTTAACTTTGCCTCATTGTCAGGAACACTGGTTTCTAGCTCTAAATGTACTGATTACAGACAGATGTCTGTTTTCTCTGAAAATGTATTTCTTATGTTCTTACTTGTCTTTTTTGTCTATAATGTTTGTTGCTATGAAGATACCTGAATAGTATCCACATTAGAGAATGAAAAAGAGTAATGGGCAGATTAACCCTGTCCAGAACCAGGAATCCTTTCACCCTGCCCTTCCTGAAATGTAGAAGCAGAGGATGGATGAGCAATGCTGAGCAGTGCACCCATGACCACAAAAAGAAAGATGTGGAAATGTGTCCCCTCCCCTCCTTATGAAAGGCAGCTCATCCCCTGTTCCTTCAGGCCCTGGTGAGGAGCCACTCCATGTCTGTGCCCTTCCTCAGTGTCCACACCGTGGGGTCTGCACTGATCTGGGCTTCCCTCCTCATCACCCTCAATATTAGTGGCCTTTATGAATCAGGTCCAGCTGTGGCTGCTCCACATGGGGCTGTTCTCAGTCTGTTCCCTCTGTGTTTGCAGAAGACCTGTGTGAAGTTCACTGGTGGAGTCTGAGGTGGAAAAATTGTACAGCCCAGCGGTTCACTGAGCCTCTCCTGCACAGCCTCTGGATTCACCTTCACTGACTGTAGCATCAGCTTGGTCCAGCAGGCTCCAGGACCAGGGCTGGTGTGGGTGGCAACAGGGAGAAATTCAAGAGGAAGTTTTTACGTGCACTCTTACATGCATGGTCTCACTGACATCTTTACTTCTGTTATCACGTTTGTTCTGAAATCACAAAGAATGGTGCATTCTTCATCTATTACACTTTTGGTGAGTCTTTTTTGGTGTCTTTTTAAAAACTTGTAACTTTATCCTATGTAATCCCTGTTAAGTCCTAAAAGTGTTTTTTCTGATGTCTACTTTGTGTGAAATTTACACAGCTAGTATAGCTTTCTCTTGGTTCATATTTTCATAATCCATGTTTTCCCATCTTTTTCTATTTGTGAATATGTAGGATAACTTTCTTGTACATAGCTAATAGTTGGGTCTTTCTTTTTTAAAACAACTATAATGAATTCTATTTTTTAAACTAATATTTGTTTCTGTCATTCTTTGTTTAAATTAGCATTTTATAATGATGTTTATTTCTCTATTAACAGATTATACAATTCACTTTTTATAAATAT